GACATGCACTAAGAGTCTAGTGTTATTTTATTTTTAGGAACATTCTTCTAAACTATACAGCATTCCTCTGTCACTTTGCTGCACTGAGGTAATCTGGGTTTTCTGTGATTCTGAATCTTGTGCCATTGGTACTCAAATGCCATAATGGCTGCCCATGGTGGACAGTGTTTGGTGGAGCTCCCAGTTTAAGACAGGTTTGGAAGCAGGAGTGGCATCCACTTCCTAAACAATATGCCTCTGAAAACTCTATGAACTTGGAGAAATGACAATAATTATAGAAAGGCTTCCAGCCTTTTGTTCATTGGGTCCCTCTGAGTTGTGCTTTACTCAACAGCAATAAACAATAACAACACCCCCCTAATCAAGATATAGAACAGTTACTCTTAGAAGAAAGATACAGAGCGTTTTCAGCAATCTAGTTTCTCCTTTAACCCCTGTGTGGTCAGAGCCCCATTCCAGTTCTGAGACTACTAATCTCTTTTCTGTCACTGTCTGTTACTATTTGCTCTTTTAGAATCTTTTATCAGTGCAGTTTTATAAAATGTACTCCCGCTTCTTTTTGCTTAGAATTTTTTTTTTTTTTGAGATTCATCTGTGTATCCATTGAATGTTCCTTTTCATTATGAAGCAGTACCCTTTGTACAAAAGAAGCCCTGTTGGCACAGTTGTTAGGAGTTTGATTACTAACTGAAAGGTCAGTGGTTTGAACCCACCAGCTGTTTGTGGGAGAAAAAGATAACAGTCTGCTTCTATGAAGAGTTATAGCCTCAGAAACTCCTGGAGGTGTTCCTCTAGGGAGGTAGGGAATTTGGTATGATTTTTTTTTTTTTTAAATAATCCTTTGTATAACATACTACAGTTTAATTAATTGTTCACCTGATCTTTGCCTGTTTGGAAGTTGCTATGAAAATTCATGTGAAAGCCTTTGTATAAACATGTTTTCATGTCCTGGAAAAAATACCTAGGAGTAGAATTACTGAGTCTTATGTTAGATGTAAATGAACTTTATAAGAAACCATCTGACTACTTTTCATGATGAATATACCATTTTACATGTCTGTCAGCATTGTTAGTTCAGTTGTTTCACATCCTCACCAACACTTACTAAATCATCCCTTTTCCTTTTAGCCATTATAGTGGTAATGTAGTAGCATATGTGATTTCTGTTTCAATATTTTCCTCATTTCTTCACTGAGTTTTGTCTTTTTGTTAGTGAATTGAAGAATCTCTTAATAGGCATAAAAGTTCTTTGTCAGATGCTGCTAATATTTTTATTCTAACTCTTGATTTTTCTTTTCATTTTCTTGATATATTTTGAACAATATAAATTTTTAGTAAATTTTGGTGAAATTGAATTAATAAATTTTTTTCTGTACAATTTTGAAATTTTGAGCTACGCTAGCATCACAAAGATTTTCTTAAATGTTTAAAAATTTTGAGTGTTTGACCGCTCAGAGTGATGTTATTGTTAGTTTTTCATGTTGCTATTCTTAGCTGTCATTCAATCAGCTCCGACTCCTAGAGACACCCTACATACAACAGAACAAAATCCTGCATGGTCCTGTCCCATCCTCATACTTACTGCTGTATGTCAGCCCACTCTGGCAGTCACTATCCAGCTCATTTAGGATCTTCTACAAATCAGCCACTCCTGATAATAAGCCCCAAAATAGCTCACCATCCTTACTTACATGGAGCACTGGCTTTCCTCCTTCCAGAACAGATTGGTTTGTTCTTTTGACAGTCTGTGGTCTATTCAGTATTTGCCAACATCACAGTTCAAGGTCATCAGTTCTTTTTCCATCGTTCTTATTAATTGTCCAATTTCATATCCATATGAAGCAAATGACAATACGAAGGCTTGGTTCAGGTACACCTTGGTCTTTAAATGGACATCCTTGCCTTTTAGTTCTTTAATGAAGTCCTTGACAGCATACTTGCCCAGTGCAGTGCACTGTTTGATTTCTCAAATGTTACTTCCATGAGTATTGTTTGTGGATCCAAGTGAAATGAAATTTTTGACAATTTTAATCTTTTCTCCATTTACCCTGATGATAATTAGTCCTCCAGTTGTGAAGATTTTGACTTTGATTATTTTTAGGTCTAGTCTATACTGAAAACTCTGGTGGTTTAGTGGATAAAGAGTTTGTGCTGCCAACCCAGAGGTGAATGGTTCAATCCCACCAGCTATTCCACAGGAAAAAGATGGATAATCTCCAACTGTACATTTTACAGTACAAACTCTATGAAACTCTGAAAACTCTATGGAGGGTCTGACTTGATGTCACATAAAACAACAATCTATACTTAAGACTGTATTCTTTGAGGTTCATCAGTAAATTATTTGAATCTTTATTTTCTGCAAGCAAGATTGTGTCATTTGTATACTATAAATTAATGGGTCTTTCTCCAATCATAATGCCACCTTCTTCTTCATATAATCTAGTTTCTCAAATTAACATGCTGAGCATTCAGATTGAATTGATATCTGATTTATAACTAATCACCCAGCAAGTTTTCAGTGGTAGTAAATCTTACAGAAGGAGATTGCCCATCTTTCTACTGGAGAGCAATAGATAGATAGATAGATAGATAGATAGATAGATAGATAGATAGATAGATAGATAGATAGATAGATAGATAATCAGTCTGATTTGATTGAGTGATATAAAATATTATTTATTTAAAAGAAGTGACTCAGATTGAACAGGACTGAGGAAAGAACACCATATGGAAAATCCCTTTTCCTCATTTTAAACCATGATGTACCCCCATATTTTGTTCAAACAACTACTTCTTCATCTATCTATATAGGTTCCATCATATAAGCACAGTGTTCTAGAATTCTCCTTCTTCCCAGTGTTGTCCATAATTTATTATTATCCATACAGTAAGATGCCTTTGCTCAAGCAATAAAACATGAGTAAACCTCTTTCTGATATTCACTTTTAGTGATGATATATCTGACATCAGCAGTGATGTCCAGCTTTATCTGAATTCACCTTGCATTTATGCTATTACCCTGTCAGTACACTGTTCAAATGTTTTTCAGTTGTTGTTGTTATTGTTATTGTGGTGGTGTACTGTCAAGTTGGAACCAACCCACAATTGACCCTCAAGGTTTTTAGAGGCAGTTTAATCACATGGGAGAAGTTTGCCCATGTTTGTACCACAGAGTAGCTGATGGATTTGAACTGCATGCCTTTGGAATTGGTAATTTAAAATTTTTGAGTTTTTAAATTCTTTTCAGCAAGATTGTACTTGCATGTGATGAGTGAGTCTATCCAGGGCTACATTCCGTTTGCTCACATGCCTCTTCTGTAAATTCTTGGATCTTTTTTCCTCCTTTTCTCTTTTTTTACTAATGGCTTGAATGTTTTCTTTGATTCTTTAAGCTTGAGAAATGCTCAATGTGTTGTTCTTGGTTATTATCTAATTTGAATTCTTTGCACATTTCATTATAATACTTTGTTAACTTGAACTGCCCTTTGAAATCTTTTGTTCAGCTTTCTTACCTCGTTTCTTACACTTGATTTAGCTTCTCTATTTTCTAGCGCACATTTCCTTTTTTTTTTATATCCATTTTGGTTTTTTCTTCCTTCCCCGTCTTTTTAATGACTTTATGCTTTCTTCTTGAATAATGTCCTTGGATGTCATCCCACAACTCGTCAGATCCTCAGTTCAATGCATAAAAATCTGTTCTTGAAATAATCTTCTAAATCCATATGGGAAATATCCAAAGTTGTATTTTAGGTAATTCCATTTTGGAATATCCAGATATTTTTTATACAATTTAGAGCCTAAAAAAGTGAGTTCTTTAAAAAACAATCTTCCCTTTAAATAAATGTATAATATTATTCTGTGTACTGTTTCACCTCTGTATAGTCTGTTTTCCATTTACATTGCCAGTATATTAAGTACAGACCAAGAGCTTTGCCAGGTGTTTAAGTTTTACTGTTATTTTTATTCTTAAAATTTCATGCCCTGAAGACTGAGTATTTTTTAATCCCTTAGTGGTATTGCTTGTGCCCTCCTTAAACCTAATTAGCTGTGGCGTTTACCATAGTCCAGTCATTCCTAATCCTCACTTTTTTTTTTTTTGGTTGATTGTGGGATGGAATGATTGGTTTATAGTTTTGCCATAATAAAAAAAAGAGAGAAACTAGTATCACTACATTAAAAGATAAATACTAGGTCTATATTTCTCTGCTATATTGTATTCCTTTTATTCCTAAGTCTTCTTTTCTCTCCCTATTTTTCTTTTGTAGGTGAGACATTAAAAGGAAAGATCACTGTTCACAAGAACAAGAAAGATCCACGTTCTCTCATTGTGACCCTCACACTGAATAATTCCACTCAAACTTACGGTCTCCAGTGAAAAATCTGCAAAAGCACAACTGATGGACAGTTTTTAATGTGGGTGTGTGTTAGGTGATGGCAGGGCAGGGCCCTGGAGGTGATTCCATATGAGCACGTGGATGATGACACCTTTCCTAGTGAATCTCTCCAGAAGGAAGGGAAGTCTGGTGGGAATCTGATGTGATTCATCTGAGAAAGGCTGCTGACTGTTCCTTATGTTCCTCCTACAAGGAAGTCTGCTCTGCCAGACTTAACCAAAGTAATTCTGACATTCAGGTTAACCCTTTTGAAAAGAATTTAAATTGGCCCAAAAGTGGAACAGAGTTAGTCTTTTGTTGTTTTGAATATGTTTTCCTACTTTAAAATTTAAATAGTAGTTTTTTATTAACTATTTGGATTATGTTTTACTAAACGAGCAGTCATTCCCAAAGTATTACGCATTTCATTGCACAGTTGGGAAGGAACGGTTTTAATTGTGGTGTTTGCCAGAATATCAGGATGGGGTAGTTTCAAGAGCAAGTGTAAGAACATAAGCCTTCTCATGCAAATCTTACTTGAAGGCAACTTACTGGGTCATCCTATCCTGCATACCTGTCATCTTATTTCATAGCTTCTTCCTTCTTTGTAAATATTCTTTAGCCATTTAATTTTCTATACTGCCCAGGAAATCTAATTTCCATATCTCTACCCTTGATTTCATCAAAGTTTTTAAAGCTCTAGATACATTATGTACTTATTTACTGATACTTTTTTCAAACTAGATTTATGTGCAGATGTAAACACATTTAAACAGTTAAATATACTTCTATCACTCTTAAAATTGTGTCATTTATAATTATTGACTGAGTTTCAGACAGAATTAAAAACAATAAAATGTATAGTCGTTGTTGTTAAGTGCCGTCGAGTCGTCGGCAACTCATAGTGACCCTACGAACGAAAGTCCTCGACAACTGTATGACTTTCATCCATTCTCCATGTTCGTAAGGTTTCCCGAGGCAAGCTGTTTACGGATGTGGATGCCACTCCTGCTTCCAAGTATAGTCACTAGCATTTTAAAATATTAAAACCATTTGTAAAAACTATTAGATGCCTTTAAAAATAATCTTCCCCCCCCCCCAAAACAAAGATGCCACTCATGAAAATAAGACATACTAGACAAGCCAGCATAGCATTGAGAGGCCTGAGCTCAGGGGTCAGTGACTACCTGCAAGCCCAAGCGCCACCTCTTACTTACTGTGTGTTCAGGCCCTAACATTTACATACGATTCCTGAGGGAAAATGTTTTGGGTACTTAACATCCTCACTGTTAATCATAAATTCAAGTACCTCTACTAAAGAATACATGGCATCAGTAAGCCAAAAGTTGAATAATGATAAAAGAAGATTTGATACATTTGAACTGTGTTTTTGCCTAACTCTCAAGCTCAAACTCATATCCAGTTGAAACCAATGCATAGCTGACCTTCCAGTGAGTTTCCAAGGTTGCAAAACACCTGAAAGGAAATTATTCATCTTTCTTCTTAGAACCCATTGATGGATTTGAACCGAACCACCAAAGAAACACAGCCTTTGGTTTAGCAGTGCAACTCCTTATGGACTGTGTGACCGGATAGTGAAAATACCACAGATTGTCAGAAAAGCAAACAAACCATCACGAGGATATATATAACCAGAATTCACCTTGGGAGTGAAGATGGTGAGACTATGACTCAGTAGAATAGAGGATCTGAGAAAATGGAAATAATCTATGAGGTGGATTGACACAAAACCACAACAGTCTACAGACAGACAAACAATCATGATAATGGCCCAGACAGTGTTTCCTTATGTTAAAAAATCACCTTGAACCATAGCTGATGGAATAGCACTAACAACAGTAACATGTTAAATCATTCTGACAATAAGCTGCCTCATCAGATAGAAGATCTTGAATCTGTTACACCTGAATTTCAAGATCATCTTAAGTATAGGTTTTGAAGCATACCTGTATACCTGTCATCTTATTTTGTAGCTTCTTCCTTCTTTGTAAGTAATCTTTAGCCGTACAATTTTCTATACTGCCCAGGAAATCAGATGATTTCCAGATGAGCTATGGGATGTTACCAATGATATCATCCATGAGGAAAACAAAAGGTCATTAACAAAGAGGAGAAAGAAAAAACCAAAATGGATGTCAAAAGAGACTCTACAAATTGCACTAGAGTGTTGAGAAGCCAAAACAAAGGGAAAATATGTCAGTAAAAGAGTTGAACAGACAATTTAAAAAGGCAGCTTGAGAAGACAAGGCAGAGTATTATAATGGAATAAGCAGAGAGCTGGAATTGGAAAATCAAAAGGGAAGAACTCACTCTGCATTTGTCAAGCTAAGGGAACTGAAAAAACAAATTCAAATCCTGAGTTGCAACTCTCAGAGATGCTATGAACAAAATCTTGAATATCCCATTAAACATCAAAAGAAGATGGAAAGAATACACAGAATCACTGTATCAAAAAGAGTTGGCTGGCACTGAAAAATTTCAGGAAGTAACTTATGAGCTAGAGCCCATGGTAATGAAGGAGGAAGTGGAAGCTGCATTGAAAGCAAGGGCAAAAATAAGGCCCCAGGAATTGTTAGGATACCAATTGACTTGTTTAATAGATGCATCTCTGGATACACTCTCTAGGCTATGGCAGGATACTTGGAAGACAGCTGTCTGACCACCAGATTGGAAGAGGGCCATATTTGTTCCCATTCCCAAGAAAGGTGATCTACCAGAATGTGGAAACTATTGAATAATGTCATTAATTTCACATTCAAGCAAAATACTGCTGAAGATTATTTAAAAACTACTGGAACAGTACATAGATAGGAAATTGCCAGGAGCAGGATTTAGAAGAGGCCGTGGCACCAGGGATATCATTGCTGATGTCAGATGAATCCTGGCTGAAAGTAAAGAATACCAGAAGAATGTCTATTTATGCTTTATTGACTATGCAAAGGCATTTGACTGTGGATATTAACAAGTTTTGGCTAACGGTGAGTGTGAATTCCAGAGCACTTAATTGTGCTCATGTGGCACCTAGACCAGGATACTGTTGTGCAAACAGCAAGGGAATACTACATAGTTTAGAATTAGGAAGGGAATGCATCAGGGTTATATTCTCTCTCCATACCTATTGAATCTGTATGCCGAGCAAATTATTCGAGAAGCTGAACTTCATAAAAAGGAATGTGACATCAAGATCAGAGGGAGACTCATCAATAACCTGTGTTATGTAGATAACACAACCTTGCTTGCGGAAAGTGAGGAGGACTCGAAGCACTTGTTGCAGGGGATCAATGAATACAGCCTTCAATATGATTGCATCTTAATGTCAAGAAGACAGATTCTTACCACTGGACTGATAGACAACATCATAATAGATGGGAAAAAAATTGAAACTCTAAATAACTTCATCTTAACTTAGATCCACAATTAACACCCATGATACCAGCAGTGAGGAATCTGATTTAGACCGTGGTTTTTCCAGTCACTTACTATGCATCTGAAAACTGGAAATAAATAAGGATGTTCCAGAAGACTACTTAATTGATGTCTTTGAGCTGTGATGTTGGAGAACAATGAATATCCCATGGACAGCCAAGAGAACAAACAGGTATGTCTTGGAGAGGCTACAGCCAGAGTGCTTTTTGAGGGCAAGGATGATGAGGCTTTGCTTCACATACTTAAGTCATGTTGCTAGGAGAGCCTATTCCTTGAAGAGGAACATAATGCTCAGGAAGGTGGAGGGTCAGTGAAGGAGAGGAAGACCCTTAACCCGGTGGATTGACATGGTAACTGCTACAATGGGCTCTAGTGTGTCAGGAGTTGTGAAGATGGCACAGGATAGACCAGAGCTCGTATCTGCTGTTCATAGGGTTGCTATGGGCTGGACTCAACCCAATGGCACCTAACAACACCATGAATATGAGAGATGATGATTACAAAGGAAATGGATATTTAAAATGACTGAATCTGATCAGACTTTATAAAAATACCCCATCTATCAATGGGAAAAATAAACTTTTTAAAAAGATGGTTTGGGGAGGGAAGGCAGGACGGGAGTGCCGACACAATGGCGGACGGGGAGCTGAACGTGGATAGTCTCATCACCCGATTGCTGGAGGAACTCTACTATGCTTAGTGGTAAAAAGATGCACTACAGCCGGCTTGGCCCGGCGGGAGCTGCATCACTAGTGACCTGCCCTCGGGTTGACTCAGCAGTTCTGGTAAATCACCACCTGTAGCAGAATCATCACCTGTACTAGCCACCCCAGAGGAAATTGCTGAGATGCAAAGGAAAAATGAGCTGAAACTCAAGATAGGAAGAACATCTTGCTGCTTTGCAGTTTGAAGGCTGCAGCACTTCCATGATACATCTTCAAGGATATGAGCATGTACGGTTGATGGCAGTGCATCTAAATTCCAGGGTCAATCTCCATAATAGTCTATGTGTTTCCTACTGCCAGAGGGGCCCTTTAGAGTAGTGAGAGAAGACCTTCACCCTGAAACCCACAGCGTCCCTTTTCAACAAGAAGTAGCTAAGAGAATGCGCCATCCCCTTTTCCTTATGAATCAGGGTGAAGTCTCTCTCAGGGAGGAGAGATAAGGAATGGCAAGGGACACACTGACAAGGGAGATTGATCAGAACTGGCTTTGGTGGGCACTGTGACAATTGGACAATTAAAACAGACATGGGGGGGGGGAGAAAGTGGTGCAACAATGAATGAATGAAAACCCAAAATCTCTGTAAATGTTCATTAAAACTAATAAAATTTAATAAATAAAAGATGGTTTGAAGACTTTGTTCTGTCTTCTCCAGCTTGTTTGTTACCCCGAATTTTAATTCTAAGTGTTAGAAATGTGTGATACTCATAGAACAATTCAAGACACTTGAGTCTTGTCTTAAATGTCTTAATGTCCAAGTCTTGAGTAGGTCCTATGGCAAAGTAAGAAGGCCCCTGAGGAAATTAAAGGAAAACAAAGATTTCAAACTCAT